TCCCTGCGGCCCCTGGGGGATGGGGGACAGAGGGCTCCACGCGCTGCCCTCGCCTGTGGGTACCTCCCTAGCAGGCTAGGGCACCACGCAGAGCACTCTGTCTCCCCGCCCCCCGGGGCCGCAGGGACGTGGTGCTGGCCACTTCCGGGAGCGGCATGTGCAGAGCCAGGGCAGGGAGCCAGGGTGCCTGCCCTGGCGCACGCTGCTACCACCCTGGAGCTGCTCCAGGAAAGTGGCGCCGGGCCAGAGCCCGCACCCTGAACCCCTCCTGCACCCCGCACCCCCTCCTGTACCCCAAACCCCTGCCCTGAACCCCTCCTGCACCCCGCACCCCTCCTGTACCCCAAACACTGCCACACCCCTCCTGCACCCCAACCCTCTGCCCTGAGCCCCCTGCCGCACCCCTCCTGCAATCCCAAACCCCCTGCTGCACCTCTCCTGCACCTCAACCCCTTGCCCTGAGCCCCCTGCCACACTCCTCCTGCACCCCGCACCCCTCCTACACGCCACACCCCTCCTACCACACCTCTCCTGTACCTCAACCCCCTGCCCTGAGCCCCCTGCCACACCCCACACTCCTTCTGCACCCCAACCCCCTGCCCTGCGCCCCCTGCCAGACCCCGCACTCCTTCTGCACCCCAACCCCCTGCCCTGAGCCCCCTGCCGCACCCCATACCCCTCCTGCACCCCAACCCCCTGCTGCACTCCTTCTACACCCCAACCCCCTGCCCTGAGCCCCCTGCCACACCTCACACCCCTCCTGCACCCTAACCCCCTGCCCTGAGCTCCCTCGTATACCTACACCCCTCCTGCGCCCCAGCCCCTTGCCCTGAGCCCCTTCCTGCACACTGCACCCCCTCCCACACACTGCATCCCCTCCCACACCTCAACCCCCTGCCCCAGCCCTACATTCATGGCCCTGCATGCAATTTCCCCACCCAGATGTGACACTCGGGCCAAAAAGTTTGCCCACCCCTGGGCTATGACAAAAAATGTCAGTCGTGAACCAGCGGGCTAATATTTCAACAAGATTATAAAGCCCAAAGAATGGTACCAATAACTGCAGGGAAGGATGTGTTTTGCTCTACTTCTGACCAAAGCAGGTCTGAGTTATTTTAAAACACCCAAATTCTTGAATTGGCTACAGCTTTACATATGTTCTCTTTGATTTCAAAAAAACATTTGCTTCTTACAGTCACCATAACAACTTTGTGTGCATAAAGAAATACAAGAAAACTTTCTTTCCTTTAGAGAAATCTCCTTTTTCATTGGCTTACTTGACTCATTTTATTGTGGCCTTTCTGAGTGGATTTTGTAAAGGATGATAGGCCTCAAGTTCAAATCCACATCAGGCACTTTCAGTACAACACTCCCAAGGATTGAAATTCATTTATATTTTTATTTTCAGAGCGATGGCCCAGGACCAGTCCTTGTAAAAAATGTACTGGTCTTGAAAACATTTGTACCGGTCTTCCCTAAGTGTTTGTAGCCCTGGCAGGTCACAAGATTCATGTCATTCGGATTATCTTGTTCTCCAAATACACTTAATTCCTAAAGTGACTTTAGTAACTGCTGTCTTGAAATCATCAAGCACCAGAAATCATTGCTTCATGCTTTTTCAGAGCCTGGAATCCAGTTAATGGTATAAAGCATTAATCTTTACTTCTGACATTTCTTGAGATATCAGCTAAAATCCATTTTGTGCTTAAAACACACACGTTTGGAATTGAAATTGGGAGAGGGCAAAGCAAGAAGGTAATAGGAATGATGTGACTTCAAGGGCAGATGGTTTTCAAGATATTGGACATGAAATTGTAACTGATCTCTTCAGTCCAGCAGGTTTATTTTGACATTGGGCCAGGACTGAATATAAAACTAGAACTTGGACCAGGGCCTACAGCCCCTTAACCTTTTGTCTATCAAACCGGTGTTCGGGCATGAATCTCAAAAACCCAGGCATTCAATTCCATGTGCATAATTACATACTTAATTTGTACATGAAGTTACTGCTGTTGTGCACATAAACCGGGTATCTGTGCACACAGCCATTTGTGTGTCCAACTATGCTTGCAGTTGTAATAATTTTGCATGCAAATTAAGCATGCAATTGCATGTATACGTTTGTGTGCATACAGTACTTGAAAAGCAGGCTCTGTATGTAAAATTACATTGTTGATCCTTAAAGTAAGCCACCAATTCAGTGTCCTGTTTATCCTATGGATCTTTGCATCTTACAAAGTAGTTCCTTCAATCTTGCACTTCTTGTCTCATGACAATATTAACATTTAAATCAAAACTGTCTGGAAATCATTCTTTTAGCAACCGTGCTCTTTTGATTTGGAATTCTGCGTAGTAGTAGAAATTCATCAAGCAAATTCCCTCTCTGGTTTTAAAACCAAAGCTGAAACTGGACCTGTTTTATTTGGTACAGAATGAATGAGCTTTGATGTGATTTGATTTTTATCATATTTCATTTGAACTTTTACATCTCCCAGGGACCCTTGTGAGCAAATCCTTCATAAATAAAAATTGTATTGAATTTCCAATCTCTGTCTGACTCTTAAAAGTTATTTGATAATTTTTTGACCATGAAATCTTATCTCCATAATACACCAATATGCGGAAGGTGACTGCAGATGTTTAGTAATGGAGCTAGATGTCTAGGGTTTTTCTAATGGGTTTTCCGTTCCCTTATTAAAATAGGGGATAGGTTGTATTACTAACCCATAAACAGTTGTTTTGCATCCTGACTCGTGGGCAAGCCCTGAGATGCTATTGATATTTCCATTATTCCCTGACTTCAGTTTTGCTTTGAATGGTTTTGTTAACATCAAATTAATGGTAAGGTGTTTAATTGACATCCCCCCAAAAGCTGCTATAATTTAAGTAGAGCAGATGGTGTTCGTAGTCACTTAGTAGACTTAGGCGATTAGAATTTTTATACTGACTCCTTAAGAAGTTGGGTGCCTCTGCCTTAGAAATGATTCTTCTGGTAATTTTTGGTGGAACAGTGACTTCCAGCAACTGGTTAGGTTAATCACAGGCATGTATTCCAGACGGATATCCCACGAGATATCTTAACACTTGCTTTCCTACTTAAAATTCATATTGTGGATGCAGATTAAGTATAAATTTCTCACTAAGTCTGGTCCATTTTTTAAGTCACCTTTTAATGCCTGCTTATTTCCATATCTCAGAGTGGGCTCCTCTGAGTGCCAATGGACTTACAACATAGGTCTGACCATGCTCCCACAGCAGTCAATGGCAAAAATCCTACCGATTTCAGCTGGAGCTGGATCAAGTCCCCAGAGTGGTATCCTTCCGACTTGTGGTATAGAATGGATTATGCCCCTCTGATGCCTAACCAGAAATATCATTTAAAGGTGGTCTAACCAACATTTACTTTGGAGTCATATTTGGAAAGATTTATTTTCCTGTTGCTGCTAGAGATCAGCTAAGCAAATAAATCAGAATCTAGACGTTGATCTATACAATTTCACAGGAGCACAAGAATGTTAAAAATCCTCCTTGAACTCAAAAGAGCTAGGACACTGGCCAATTGAATGTTCAGGAAACAAGTCTGCTGTGTCCCCAGAAAAGTTAACACTCTGAGTTTTACAGACATTATCAAGTGGCGGAGAGATTTTCATGGTACGTTTTTAGTACTGTGGCTTTTTTTAACTTTTTTGCCCTCCATCAGTTAAGGGATTCAGCTGTTCAGGGAAAATATCAAGTTTCTTGGCACAATAAGTATTATTTAGTGCACTAGATGACTGTTCCAAGCTGCATTACTTCACATGGGAGGACACTCATTCAATTTTTAAATAAGTATTTTAACACAGAAGGTTATATCATATATCAGATATGAATAGTGGGAAGGAGCTTTCAACACCATGGCCTTGTGCCTGTTCTCCTTGGTATCCTGGTATGAGAACATGGGCAGGCCAACAAATGGCAAAATACTTAAGCTATTAACGTGCAAATCACTGAAGAACCCAGGCTCTTGTGCATGTGTTGCCTTTGCCTATTTGCCTCCATAAGGCATTCCAGAGAATGAGACTTACAGGTCCAAATTCAGAGTGAGGTGCATGCTGCTATGTGTCAGTCTGCCTTACACTCCCTCACCAACACATACATGACGGTAAGGGAATTTAAGTCAGTGTAACTGAGGAACTGGAAGGTATAAGTCACACCCTCCTGTTAGTTGCTTTTCTTGCTACATTCTTCTCTTCTAGCATGTGAGTGAAACCGTTTGAGACTCTTTTACACTCAGCTACCTGCAGCAGGCACAATTCAGAGGTGATGGGTGAGGACAGAAAGGTGTACTTTACAGTTTCGAAAGTGGGAGTGCATCCTGCAAATCAGGATGTTTAAGGGAATCAAAGTATGTGTATGGGACTGTAGGAGGTGTTTAAATTGGTGTAATATGTGGTTACATCAACTTAGACTCCTCTAGATTCACCCCTGAATTTGTCCTGCTGTCTGAAGGGTATTCTGATGTAAACGTTTCACACAATGACTACGGCTCAAATCTTGGTCACACTGAAGTCAATGGGAAATTTGCCATTGACTTCAGTGGGATCACAATTTGGCCCCCTGGCCTCACTACTCAAGGCACCTTCAAAGAATTAGTGTATTAACAATGCTCAAGTTATTGTATCTTCTGAATTACAGGTGAAATTTGCAAACACCTTGCAATCTAGGAATGCATGTTGTGTGCATGATGTCCTGTTTAGCATGAGCATCTTAGAAAAGACCTCTTCAAACTTGTTTACTATGGCCCTTCCCAGCAGCTAGCAAGGAAGCCAGAGGACAAACCAGCAACCCCACATTCCATTCAGGGAGCACACCACTTTCTCCTGACATTTTCATCTTGGCTATTATGTAACAGGGGCAATGGATTCTATCACTGGCATACATTATAATAGTCAAAGGTCCTATGGCAGCAACATACGAAATCAATCTCCATATAAAATGCTTGGCAGGATCAACTCCTTCCATTGGTTTATCATGGGATATTTTTTTAATCACCAGGAAAAGCCCAAGGTACCTGTTCTTAGAGATTTGGTTAGCGACTCAGTTATACCAGCATAAACATATTGATTTCAGTGGTATTCTCAGTATAACAGACAGCAGAATTTCACCCTCAGCTCAAAGACATCTTAGGACACACCAGACCGACAACCTTGCCCATTATTCTGAGAGTTTTTATCCAGGCACAGTAATAAGCATACCAAAACTTAACACGGCTGAAGTGTCTGCTGTGACATTTGGGACAGAGACAAAATATTGCCTTTCTCCTCTCCACAGGTGTTAAGATGACCTTAGCTCGATAACTGGTTATACTGTTTTTAACATGTTCTTTTCTACTGTGAGTGGAGCCAGACAACAGCTAAGGTGAGTTTAAAGACAAGGTTAGGTATGAGAGAGGGTTCTTCTTCCCCCACCCTATCCCCTTTCTATTTATCTTCTTAAGTCTGAAAAGGAGGAGTTTAGTACTCATGAGAGATGCCAGACTGACAGTCCTGGGTGTTGACCCCTTCCCATCCATAGAAGAGGTACAACTACAAGCAACAGCAGTGCAAGCTTCCTCCAGACTGTTATGTCAGTGTTCCTCAACCCTGACCTGGAGGAATGATGTCTGAGGATCAGAGCGGAATGAGAATCTCCATGGTCCATTTAGACCTTGACCTTTCGTCTCAGAGTGCCAACAAGGAAACCAACCATGATGATACTTTTTTAGTAATTTGGATATCTATCCACTAGGAGCTAAACTGAGACCCACCAACTCACTTCACATGGGACAATGTGCAGCCATCAGCTGGGAATGACTTTCAAACCCTGCTGACCAGCACTAGATTTGAACCAGTGATCCAGAAGGAAAGGTGCACTATTCTATTAGCAATCCCTCAAGCCATGTATTCCTCTTTCCTTTTCTGGTTCACTAGAGAAAGGAAGAATCCAACACTGTGAGCCTCTTCCTGAGATGAGTTTGAATTTGGGGAAAATATTAGGCCTGATTCTCCTCTCACTTACACTTTTATTACACCAGTGCAACTCCATTGACTTCAAAAGAGTCACACCTATTTTACACCAGTGCAAGGGAGTAAAAGTCAGGCCCCCTTCTCTTTTTATATTGGTGTTTACTCACTATTTGCTTGCTTGTTTTCTTCTTTAAGAAGTTATCAATTAACTCTAACACAGGCTTTCAATTTAAAAGGTCAAGTGAAACAAAGCAACTAAACCAGCTTCCTAATTAAAATCAATCTTGTCCTGCAGCATAAACTTCACTGTGTATTTTATCACTGCAAACCACAGCAAACAGTCAACATACCTCACCACTGATTAAAAAATAAAGGTGATCGCTGCATAATTTGCCCATCCCTGGAAGAAGGGAACTTTTGGGACCCAGAGCTTAAGCCTTATACATTATTTGTTGGGTCAGCTAAAATTAGCTACATATGCAGAAGGATGGATAAGGTCTCATTAATCTGGGTTGTAACTCCAGTAATTTCAACAAATAGATCGCGCTATGTTTACATTTAACAAAGTCCTGATGCTCCCTCTAATAAATGTTCTTTTTCAGGTGATTTCTTTGGCACAATTGTGCCTTGAAGCGGCCAGTTAGGTGAATGGCAGATGTATATTCCTTATAGGAATCCCAGGAGACTTCCAACAGCTGCTTGCCTAATCAAAGCTAGTGAGGTGTATGGTCTAAATTCAGCTCAGGTATCAGTTACCCAGTGAGTCTACTGCGCCCCTATAAACCACTTTCTATTTTCTGCCTATTACCAATTGTTGATGGCTGTCTGTGCACTTTGTCAAATTACATCATTTACTAAATCAGAAACACTTTCATAAGAAGCACAATTAATTTATTTTTAAAGATTACAGCTCAAATTTAGCTCCAAAGAGTGACCTCTTTCATTTCTGTGATTAGTGCTGCATCTCTAGAAACACTACTAGCAGCCAAGGAATACACATATACACCTCGTTCCTCCCTTCCCTAGATAATGTACAGTGTTCCTTATACATGAATTGATATCCTTTATTGCCTTTTCTGTTAAGGAGTGCACAAAACACTCCTTGTTATCTGCAAATACCCAATATCTCCTAATGCAAGAAGAATAGGTTTCTGAGAGCTTTGAAGAATGGTGTTGACAAAACCAGAGGGACGGCAATTGTAGAGTAATGATAAAACTTTGCCTTTCTATCGTGCTTTTGATCTGTGGATCTCAAAGTGATTTACAGACATTAATTAATTACACCTCCTAACAGCAAAGAGCATAAAGTAGATGTGTTTTTATATGTGCTTTATTCATGGCTAAACCAAAACACAACAAAGTTTCGTGATTTGCCCAAGTTACAGAGCTGGAAATATAAATCAGGAGTTCTAATTCCCACACCTGTGCTCTTACCTCTAGACAACTCTCTCTGCACTTGCTTCTGTATTAGAAAGTTCACATTTATTTGCCTGACTCTAACTGGGAATCACTGTTTTTAATTTTAAAATACTGTGGTGATCTCAGCAGCATTTTTGAAGGAAGGGGTCAGGTGTAGGGTCCATGTGAGAAATGGGTTCTCTTTCATTACTGTATGCCTAGTGAGGTAAGTTTTCCCCACTCTGAAGCCAAGGAATGAGACAATGAAATTGTGGAGCTGAATAACATTTTAGCACCAGCACTTTACTTCTGGTTGTGAAGAATCAGAAGCACCAGCAGGCCAGAACAGGGCATGTTCTCCATAGAAAAGCTGGCAAAATCATGCAATTTTATAAAGGGTAACTGGGAAAAGGCGAAATTCAGAAGAAGTATCTATATTAAGACTTTACACATTAGAGACTGGGTTCTCTGGTGAGATGTGGGCCCTTTGTAGTCACAGGAGAGAATCTGGTCTGAGGTAATAACCCACTCTGCAAAAGGGAAGGTAGCATCATCTATGCTTCAGACTCTTTGTGCAGCAACTGAAGTTCAAAGATCAGAGACAACAGTAATACTTTGCACAGGTTACTATTATTGGTGTGGCATGAACAATGTACTAGGCACTTGGTTCTGTTCTCTTACCTAGTCCTTTTCTTCCAAAAATCTCAGAGCCATTACAAACACAGATTAATCCTCCCACCCCATTCTGAGATGTGTCAGTATCATTACGTCCATTTAACAGATACCGGAACTAAAGCAGACTGGTAAAGTGACTTGCCCAAAGTCGCACAATGAGACTGTGGCACAACTGTGACTACAACTCAGGTCTCCTAGCTCTGAGGTCTGTGTTGTAGTCATAAGACCAAGGGCATTGCAAAGCCCAGCAAACATAGAGAAAGAGGTGATCTTTATTCGCCATGAGACTGAGCCGCAAAATTTTGGTTGGGATCTGAACTTCCCCCAGTGTTGGGGTGTTTTAATCCAGGGATTCAGTATGGGATCCTCTGTACTCTTTGGGTATGTCTACATTGCAATTAAAAACTCAAAGCTGGCCTGTGCCAGCTGACTCTGGCTCACAGTGCTTGAGCTATGGGAGTGTTTAATTGTGGTGTAGACATTTTAGCTCGGGCTGCAGCCCAAGCCTGAATATCTACACCACAATTAAACAGCCCTGCAACCCCAGTCACCTGCCATATGGGCCAGCTGTGGGTTTTTAAATGCAGTGTAGACATACCCTCTAAAGCTAGAATGGTTCATGGAACAGAGGGATCTTAAAGAGGTTTTTGGAGGAGGAGGAAGAAGCTGGGTAGGGTAAACATAAATGGAGACGTTGTTCTAAGCCTAAGGGATGGCGTGGAAGTAGGAGAGAAGCTGGAAGCTTGCCAAGGAGACAAATGGAATGATCAAGAGAGAAACTAGAGCATAGAGCATGGGATGAGATGTAGGCAGACATGAGAGGAAAGATACAGGAATGGCCAGAGTTGTGGAAGGCTTTGAAAATGAGGATGGGAAGCTTTGAACTTCATCTGGAAGGAGAGTGGCAGGCACTGAAGGGACTGGAGAAGCAGGAAGACATGGTCAAAGCATCTAGCCCTAGTAATTTGCCTGGGGCCTGAGGGAAAAAAGGTATCTTTTCAATTCAATTGATTTAAAGCAGAGGATGTTAGAAACACAGAGGATTTTCCAGTCCAGTTATTGGTTCCTGTTCAATAAGGTACTTCAGCACGTGTCAGACATTAAACATGTGAATAGTCCCTTTGAATCCAATGAGAATATTCACATGCTTAAAGGCAAGCACATGTTTATACTTTGCTGAGTTGGGACTTGGGCAGAATTGCCATGTGGCTTGGTGGAAACGACCACATCTCCTGCAGTAAAGAACTTATAAAAAAATTTAGAATTAAGATACACAGCATATCTATTACAGAATGCATTATTATGTGCAATATAATTTAATAACACTTCCTATAGCGAGGCAGGTCTGCCTATATGGCGTCACGGCCCTCTAACACTCTGCTGCTCTTTGCACTGTGCAGCATAAATTCACGACCCATATTGCAGACTACACTGTGGCTGAAATCAGAGGGTGGGTTATTAAATCATTCCATCAGACACTCAGAGGGGATGGTACAACATACACGGAGATGAGATGTTTGCCAAGGAAAATAAGGGTGGTGCACTTATGAGCATATCCCGTGTATATTTCAGCCAATTTTTAATAAATCCTTTACTTCCAACCTCCAAGTATCAGATGGTAGTAAACTGTTAACGTTCTAGTTCCAGCTGAGCACAACTGGGGGTGAAATGCCTTCTTCTGGAAACTGCTGGTACATGATCTGTTATGTCTGCTTCAAAACCTTTAGGGAGAGGCGCAAGCGTAGCTGGTATTCTGACCTACGGATTCAAAGCATGATGGTTCATGAATCAAATTGCCAGAAGGGCTTCATATGCCATAACAGAGAAAGAGAGGACCCTCAAAACTAAACATTCAACCAGTGGGAAAAACAGATGTTAAAAAGAGTACCCTAGTTTTACAGATTTGTAGGAAGCCAGCAAAATATAGACCTTCATGAACATGTTCAAACATGTTTTTTGCATTCCTTTTTCAAAGAAATAATTATTACTGCCTTCCGCTAGCAAGACAGACCTTGATAGACTACACAGTTTTCACTCAGTTCTTTCAATAACTATACAAAAAACAATAGATAAGGAGTGGGGAGGAAAGGTCACTTCATCCCAGGCATGCAAGCTTGATGGAGGGGCTTTCGCTGTGTCCACCACAAACTGGAATGTCCTCACTTAAGTCCCCCTAGGATCTTCAGGGGCAGCTCTCTATAATGGAGTGTATTTCACAACCCCTGTAGATCTATTTAAGTTTTAAACCTTAGGAAACTTAGAAGCCAGAGCAGGAGTAGTCATAAAAACAAACAAAAACAACACATTTTCCCCACTAAGCTGTAAATGAAAAATAATAAAGGAAAGAAACAAAACTGATCGATGTTGATGTAGTGTTCAAAGTAACCTTGAGGATAGATACTATGTCTTTAAGAACTTTCCACCTAAGTGAGTTGTCATTCAAGAGTATCAATCCTTGTCAGCTAGAAAGCTGTGTAGCTGAACTGTAATGACTCAACACAGCAGATATAATTTTTCTGCAGTGAAAGCAAGGGTTAAGGAAAATGTCCTTTGTTACAATTTAAGAAATTGTGCAAACTCTCTAGTGTTTTTTACAACACGTTAACGGGCAACTTTAATGTCACCTGGGTGCTGACAGCAAAGAGCTTTTAAAAACCCAGGTTTTCAGAAGAGATCCTAAGAACTGGCCACCTTAGCTTGTACCACTGAGGCAATCTTGGCAATCTTGGCCCTAAAGTTACACTAGGTCACATGTCAACATAGGAAAGGAACAAGAATGATTTAACGTTACAAAGGCGAGAGACACAAATGTGAACGTTTAGACTGTCAAACATATCCTGCCTAGGGAACATGCAGGGAGATATAGGCTGACTCATAAGGCTCACAGCCTCATTTCTACTTTCCTTCTAAAAACCAAAATACCCACTGCCCAACTGACCCTCAGTGCAGTATTGTATGTATCGAGCAACCTTTGGTGAACTTCCTGTTGAGTATTTTTATAAAACAGATTGATAGTCCCACTGGATAGTCAAGGGAATAGTTAGTGAATCACAGAAATTAGAGAGGGGAAAGGCCATTCGGGTCATCTTCTCCATCCCTCCAGCTACTAGTCACAGCAGGGAGAATGATAAACTGCTGGAACTTTTGGAACCAAATATAGGATTCAAGAAGAGTGTGGAGCACCATTCCAGTATGTGAATCCTGCTCTGCAAGTGACTGTCCTCAAACTCTCGGAGGGGACTCAGGCTGTCTTTCCTGATCACTTCTTGCCCTTTTTGTTGTTGGTCTTGTGACCCAAAGCAGCAACGTTTTGCTGCAAATGAATTCTTGAGCATTTCAGCACTTTATAACATATTGCTATGTTCTCCAAAGATGGTCTCATTTTATGAGTAAAGCAGCATCCTCTCAATTGTAGTTTCAGCCCAACAGAACTGCTCAGATTCCCAATCCCCTTGCCTGTACTGCCTAGGAATTGACACTCAGATACATTATGAGGCAGGCATCAGAGTACACATGAAAGGATATTACTAATTCAAACTGAATATCAGCTACCTGGCAAGACTTCAGCACATTTCTAGTCTACTGTCATCTAATCCTGTGAACCTAATGCTGCTTCAAGAAGCTCAATGTGATCATTCTGTCTGAACTACTCTTAAGTCCCTCTGGAAACAGCAAAATCCCTCTTTTGGTGCAGAGTTTATCCCAATGCTACATGAAAGCTACTTCTATTTAAACAATAGCCTGATATAAACAATGACTGCTAGACTGCTGAGGAGCTGCCGTCGCAATCTTTGTTCTCTTTGTGTGGATGCATGGCAGCAAATCTCATTTGCTGATGATAAAGTTGGTTTAATTTTTATTTTTGTGTTTCATTTCTCTCCCCCCCCTTTTCAAATATTGTATTCAAAGTTGTAACTAATAAGGGCTTCAAAACTGAGCCAAACTGTACCTTCAAGGTACTGGCTACACCTGGTCACACAGCAGCGCAAGCCCCTGAGCACTGGATTTCCTCCTGACACTGGTGCAGGAGCTTCAGAATACTGAGCGAAGATGCAGGATGCTCTCCCCCAGAACTGGTTCACCTCCAGAGGGGATGGAGGCAGGGCCACAGCCTACATTCATCCCAACCTCTTTAAGGTAGTTAGTATTACTATTTGCTCTAGTCTGTGCTCCCCACTGGGACTAAGCTTGGCCCCTCTGCAGGAGTGCAAAAGAAAGGAAGGCTCCTTGCCTCTTCTCTCCCACTACCACTGCTCATGCACTGGGCCAGCTTCAATCTACCCCTTTGGGCAACTGTACCAATTTCAGACCAAGTTCTGCAAGCTCTTAACACCCACGTTAACCCTGCTGAAATCAATGGGGTGCACAGCATGTACGTGAAGGCAGAATCTTCCCTTGAAACTTTATCTGCACCTGCTAGGGCTCTCATTCAGTTGTGCTGCTTTACCCTGCAATGGGCCTTGAGCTGCAACTATGATGGTGAGGCTAAGGCCCACAGCAGCCCAACCTGCGTTGTACATTAGAGCTTACACGGCTAAACGATGAAGTGCTGTGGTAGGGTGCCTGGGCCAACTCCAGAGGCTTATTGGGATGGGAAGCCCATAGTACCAATCACAAAAGCTTGAAGTACCAATACTGAGTACATAGCAGTGGCTGAGATCACAGGTCTAAGACACTGCTTGCTTGAGCATGTCACAGACTCATCTCTGTAGAACCCAATTTTCACCTCAGGCCACTTCTGAGGTCAAGCTGCACATCTCTCTCTATTCTGAGCTCTTCAGCTACAGCAGAATCTGGAAGCACAAGGAACAACTGCATTTCTATTGATCCACTAGGTCAGAGGGTGGGGGGATAAGATCTCGGGGGTTCAGTCTAGCTACAAGGCAGACATCGTAGCTGTCATGCATGAGGACGTTGATGGCCACCACATTCCACTGGTTTTCCCACGTATCCAGCTCTAGGATCTCTTTGGTGATAATTTCATGGCGAGCTGAAAAATAGTAGCAACAAAAAAATATCAAAGGCAAAGTCAACAGGGTCAAAGAAGTTTGCAAAAATAATGAATTAATCCTTCCTCTTTGTGAGGAACTTGTCATAAACAATCAGGGTAGAGCAACCACATTAAATCACAGCCATTCTTACAACAAAATGCTTTTTATTGAGGCTGACAAATCTTAACTTAACAAAAGAGCCACCAGAGAAGGGAGAATTTTGCTTCTTTAGATGCAGCGCCGCATTACACTTCCTGGAAAAAGGAAAAACCTTTTCTTTGCTAACACAGGACCTGAACTTTCCAGCAGTTTTGCTACTCAAAGCCAAGTTCTTTTCTATAAATGAAAAGGGCTTTCATTTTCCTCACTTTTTCTTTTCATTTCATTTCAAAGTTAGGTTCTCACAGCAAGTGACCTTAATCTAAACTTTGCTTACTTTGAGAAGAGGATGTCAATGTGTTTTGCTACTAGTCTCCTTCCTCCACATCAGATGACTCTCTAGATGGCTTTACTAAAAGCTGAGTCTCAAAGATTCGCAAGCACAGGCATTTCACAACCATCAGGAGAAGAACTATCACAATAAGAAACATTAAATACCCAACATATTTTCTCTGAGACTTAATAATCTGGTGACAGGTTTCATTGTGCAGTGTGTCCAGACTGGCACTCCCATTCATCTCTTCCTTGGAGGCTGCTCTTGATCCTTTTTTACATGCCCTCAAAACCTATGCCTTTATCTCTAGTGAGTGTATGTGAGAGCATTTGTACCTTTCCCTTCTTTGAGGCTGACAGCAATTTTGCTTTGTGGATCAACCAGCAAAGGAAAGAAGAGGAAAGAAAATGTTGAAGTTCCAGAGAGCTGCAAAGCTTGTAACCTTGGGAGCACAGGCCATTCATTCTCTCCCATGAGAACAGTCTTAGCAGTTCCCCAGTCTTATCCACAACATCCATGTCTTCTTATGATTTAGGAGCAACAGGTGAAAACAATTGTGTCACAATGGCTCAATATCACGAGACCTAACATACATCCAGGGCTCTTCAACTGTCCTGGAAGGTTGGCTTTCAGGATGTGGGGGACAGTCATGTGGAAAAAAGAATTTCAGGATAAGTTTCCCCACCCTGATAACTGGGGGTAAATCTACATTAGTGTAGCTCCCCCACATCAACTGGTGTGGTGAGCACCCAAAGCCAACCCTGTTTCCAATTACCTGTGCCTTCTGCCATGTGTTCATTCCTAAAGAAACTATTCACCAACTCCAATCACATCGTTTCTCATATGGTAACACAAAGAGATGCTTCTGTCTCAGTTCAGAACCTCAAATCATAATTTTTTCTCAGTTTTGCCCACAATTAATTGTGGAAGAGGGGAAAACAAGTTTGAACAAGCGGTAGGCTGCATTTTTCACTGAACTAAATCCTGAGCCCTTACTTTAGCTTTAATTCCCCTTCAGGAGTTTTCTTGAGTAAAGCCTGAATATAACCTGAGTAAGACCTCGTTAGGATTTGTCCCTATCTAAATACCCCTTGTTCCATTTCTTCATACAGCCCGGGGGGAGCTAACCAGTCGTGATGTTTTGCTTATCAAACTCATGCAGTTCAGCAAGGAAAGAGGAAGAATAATAGGTAGGAAAGCACCATCCATCCATGAAAGAAGAGAACAAGCTGCTAAAACACCCAGTTAAAATATGGAGAAGAAAGGTTTGATTGACAGAGACTGTAAACAAATGACATCTACAAGCACCAGCAAAGAGCTCTTGTTTCTATATGACCCAGCAGGAGCGAGAAGGGTTTCTTTCAAAGCAAACAGGAAGACACAAGCAGCCCCAGTATGTGACACTGGAAGCTCCAGTCCTGTTATTTATTATTAGATCAACTCCTTTATGCCATAAATTATTATGCCAGGAATTTCTTTGGCGTGGATCACGACAAAATGAGACAATCGAGTGAGAAAATCAAACAGTGGAGCTGTCTAAAACATTCTGTGGAGGATTGCAACACTTGAAAAAAAAATCCTAATTAAAACATCAAAGGAAGATTCAGAAATCCTCCCCACAAGTCTTGCTGTGTCTTTTCCTGACCCTCATGACTCATAACCTTTAGTGTCTTTTGTTTCCCTTTTTTGTAGGCTGTTGTAACCAGTTTTGTTCCTCTCTCTACGAATTCTGTTTTCCAGTACATGGGGTGTTAGTTAACGCTCAACTCTTGAGAGAAAAAAAGAGAGTCTATGTTGCTGGAATAAAGGATGTAAATAATTTCTCTAGTCTTATCTCGCTTAACTTAAAAGGAAACTACACCTATTTGGTTCACATAAAGAGAATTATCTGAGACAAAGAAAAAATATGTTAACAAGAAATGGGCTAAAATTGGTTCTTCATCTCTGAAGCCCTTTGAATTTTGGTGGGAATCAAATTCAAATCACTGAATTCAAATGTGGTTCTGTGATTCTGGTTCCAGATTTTGGGTCTAAAAACAGAAAGGACCAATGCTGCAGATCCAGTTTGTGCACAGCCAATGCATTCTTGCAAGGTTTCAGCCGAACAGGGTAGAAATCTCACAAAAAGAGATGATCTCATAAGACTTCCACTGCTATGTAAGAGCTAAGTATTATTTATTGCCACTATTGTCTAATATTATTTTGGGCCAAAATTTTGCAAGAATACCTTGTGTGAGTTTGGGGCCATTGGTTCCAGTCTCTCGTCTGGATTCAGGCTTTAACGCGAATCCCAAACCTTAGCTTAGAGGTAACTCAAGTGATGCTCTAAGCACTGTCTCATCAGTTTCTCTGTTATTTTAATTATAATTTGTATTTCTAAGCTTCAATCTCTTATAGTAGCTTATTTTGCTGAAAAGTGATTTTATGAGTGCACAGTAGAACCTACACTCACTCAAGAGATCACCCTTATTGGGCAACTTCTCTTAAGAAACCACCCCACAGTATCCCCAAACAAATTTAGCACAGTTCTGCTCCACTTTTATATTCAACCACCTACATTAAGCAAATTATTTCTTTTTAGTGACTCAAATGGTCACTTAATAGATTTCACTGTTACACAAACTGAGATTTCATTCTGCTAGAGATACTGATTGAACCATCAGAAGTAATCCTGAGAGGTATTTTTTTGAGTAAGATCCATAAGATTTTCTCACAGGAGCCTACATAGAACAGACACGTTCTCCTACAATACACTGTGAATGGATTCAGAGAGTAGTCCAGTTTAATACTCCACGAAGAACAATGGGATATCCTGCTAGAAATCCAGCCAAGCACACAGACTAGTAAAGCACCAGTGGGGATGCAGTTCCATGGGTCTAGATTGGGTAGGACTTTGCAGAGGGGATGCTTCACCCATGGTAGGCTAGCTCCGGTTAACTCTGCCTATGGGCTTGTCTACAGACAGAAGCTGTACCACTTTAACATACTGGTAGAGTTAAAGCGGTGCAATACCCCTCTCCCCAGTGAGAATGCAGTTATATCACTATAAAAGTATTTATAACAGTATAGCTTATTCTTATATAAGAAGGGGAATAGGCTATACCAGTATAAGGCATCTTTATACCAGTATAACTTTGCCAGACTAGAGATTGTGTCGATTCAACTATATTGGTAAAAATCACACCCCTAACTGGCATAGTTATACTGGTGCAAAATCTGTGTACAGACCTAATACTGCACCTATAAAACCACCTTTTCCAGGCAATAAAGACCTTGTTTTGTAATTGAGGCTTTAATTTGCCAATAAAAAATAACATTTCACATATGCAAACTATAGTATTCTGCATGTAGAATTTGCAGGCATAATCTTCAAAATCCTGCTTAACACTTTGGCCCATCAGCTCTTGGGGGAGAGAGAGAGAGAGCTCTAGCAAGCTCTGTTCCTAGAGATGGCTGCCCACTTATCCAGCATTCATCAACCTAAAACACACAACAGTAACTAAGGCTGATATAAATGTTTTGTTTGTAAACAAAATGGTATCATTTTTTACATAACAATGTTCTTCTCTCCATGTGTTTAAAGCAGGATGAAACTGACAGAGAGAATGTTACTTTTCAATAAGATGGCCGCCTCCATCCATATGCTCAGAAACATCCAATTCTATTAAAAGCTATATTTTTTAATGCATTTCACTATCCAGCATTACTGGACTGATTTTTCATTGTATGATTTCTCATGCCACTTGAATCAAGATGGACCACTGCATGTTAAGACCTACAATATTGCTTCAGGCAATGCTATAAATATTTTATTTGTTTTTCTGTTCTGTCAAATTGCATTCCATATGCGGGGTTTGGGGGTAACAACTTTGCCTTGTGGATATAGGTTATGTATTACTTCTGATCTCTTTGATATTTATTTTCCATCTTGAAGTGTAAGCACCACTTGCAAATCTAGCCAAGTATTTGCATGGCCCCCCATCACTGTATAATCTGAGCTGCACAGTCATTAATGAATCTACCCCAACAACACCCTTATTTTATCGGTATTATTATTAATGTTTTACAAAAGGGAAACTGAGGCACAGGAAAATGAAGTGACTTGCCCAAGGTCACACAGGAATTCTGTAGCAGAGCTGGCAACTGGAACTCTGGCATTCCAGTCCAGTGCTTTAACCATAAGAACATATGAGGAAAATATTTGAACAGCACTTTAGAGACAAGGGAACAAACTAAACCTTACTAATTTTACTTCAGTGGAGTTACACCAGGCACAAATTTGGTCCAGTATCTAATCAATCCTTAATAGCCCATTGGTGTAAATATTATTGCCTCCATTTTACAGATGAGGAAACTGATGCATGAAGTGATTAAGAGGCTCGACAAAGGCCACACGTATGTCACTGTCACAGCTGGAATTAGCATTCATGTGTCTGCTTCTCATCAGTAGGCTTCTGTGGTCTGTGAAATTCCTGTCCCGAGCTCCTTTATGCACACCTGCTGATCTCAGTCCTGGCTTTCCCCCCCACATCATCATACCACTTTTCTATGTCTGACACACACATC